AATACATTTGAGATTATATGACATGCTAAACCATACAGCCAGATTTCTCTATAAATAACTTGGCTCTTCAAACTTATATGCAAATTTAGTTTAAATATATTTTTTGTTGAGATAAATGTGTTTTAAATGCTTATTAAAAATGACACATGTATGTTGTCTATGACAACAAACCCATAAGAAGCTATGAATATGGAAACAATCCAGGATCAAGTAAAAAAACAAAACAAAAAAAAACTCAGTAATCAAAATTGGAGACCAAAGCATAATTATTTAAAAATCAACCATTAAAAAAAACAAAACACTACTTATTGACCACTAATATGAATATACATAGAGATTATGGCCCTGTGTTTCATAAACACTGGATTCAGACATGCTTTAATGCTTTTCTACCTTCATATATAGCCTGCGGAGGAACCATTTCCAGGTTTTGGACAGTCTTTATTGCTGCTCTTCCACTTTATGCACTTGACATGAAACTCCGGCCTGCGCCGGTCTGTATCCCCTGAACAAAGGCCTCGCTGTCTGGCTGGATGTCTCTTGTTTCCCCATCACTTCAGTTGTGCCCTTGAAAGTGTGAAAAGCTGAGGTCAAAGGTGAGATCTGAGACTGTACTTCATGAAAGATTAAGCAGGCCTCTCTTGTTTCGTATGCATAGTTAAAGCTGAGAGGAGTCCCCCACTGCTCTACACATTTATTTTTATCTGCAGGTTTGATCCGGCCCATTTACAGCTCAAATTTGATTAACTTTATGATTCAGCGTGGGAAGTGCCAGCAGAACATTCAACTCCTAATCGCAATTATTCCTCTCACACACTCAGAATTAGGCAGGAGGGAGTGGCTAGTCAGGTCACATGTGCACCTGTTGTCAATCACTCCACAAGAGTCCTAGGGGGTGTCTTTTTTCAACTAAAAATGGAAAACATTTTAAGCATTTTGGTCACAACAACGGCGTTTTGGGGGGCTGAAAACTTGAACTTTTTGTAAACAGGTTTCAAAGTACAAGTTTCTGATGAAACAATACCATTATTATCTCTGTGTAAACTACAAAAATGTGAATTTGTGAAAACGGTGAAGTCATTTCCCTCCGTCACCATCACATGCTTGGATGAAGAAGAATGCACATGTGTGCAGGCGTGAAGTGTTTCTTTACGAAGTGACATCGCCTGCTACTGGTCTGGCATGCATAATACAGTGTTTTTAGTCGTGTTTTACGGATCCTTGTGAACAGGGATCATTTTGACAACGTTGTCGTCTGTGCGTGAAACTTTTCCAAAAACGCAAAGGAAAAACGTCCTCGTTTTTAGTACATTGTTGATGTGTAAGCATAGCCTAGCCTAGAACGCAAAGTTATTGATATCAAAGACAAAGAAAAATATGTTTTTAATACGTAAAAACCCTCTATGTATGACTATAAGTCAGAATAAAAGATACTTTTGAATGGCCATTAATAGACAGAGGTGCATCATTTGAGCAAATAACTAATAATAAAAAAAACACCTTGGTAAATAAAACAAGTTGAGCAAAATGTAGTTCATTCAATACCAAAAAGTATCCATTAAGTTCAATTTGATTAAACTTTGGAATACACTATTGGATCCAGTTGGCAGTCAGGAATTGGGAATTACCTGATTACATAAAAACTGTAGCTTCGATTGGTGGTTCTTTGCCTAAATAACTGAATTAATACTACTATCAGTAGTTAACAATCCAAAAACAGCATTGCTTTACACAAACACAGGCAATGAAAAAGTAGATATCTGAATGAAAATTTCAATCATAAATGTATTTCCTTTAATAGCAAAAAGTATCCAAAAAAGTTCAGAAATACGATTAAAAATGAACTACGCTGCCCAATATTTGTGTGTGCTGTGTATATTATGCATATTAGAGTGTAACATGCTAATAGCAATCTCTATTGGAACCAAGTGGCAACTGGAAATGACCTAAATAGTACCCGAATAGTGGTCCTTCACCTAAATAACTGATTCAATAGTTATTCATCAAAAAACCGCATTGCTTTATGCAAACACTGGCAATGAAAAAAAAAAACACACGAAAACATTTCGGCAAGTGTTTAAATGTGCATTTCTGTTTTATAAGGTTAATAGGCCCATGGCATTGAATAAAACATGACCTGATGTCTGCTCGGTGAAACTGTATTTACCTGGTGAATCTGAAAGGAAGGTTTTTTTTGTGTGTCTTGTTATGCTTTTCTTTTTTTTGACAAGTTTTGACAATGCCAGATGTGGAGTTCAGATACCAGACAGATGGAGCCCACACATACGCTGTCATATGCATGTGCGCATCCACCCACAAACACATACACACAAACTGTCAGCGAGAAGAGCTTTTCACAAACACTGCGGTTTCAGACATGCATGCCACAGCAAAGAGATTTGATTTGGACAGTTTAATAGAAGGGGACTGTGATATATCATAGAGAGGCCTGCAAATAACACAAATAACACATGCGCATCCAAGAATACCTTCAGATTGCTGATTGGTCTATTTATTAAATATATTTGAATGTATTTAGAAGTTAATAAAATAGTATTTTTATGTTTTAAGCATAAATCTACTAACATTTAGTGAGCTTTATGCTTATACCGAGAAGAAAATGCTTCTCAAGTAAATGGATGATGACATAGACACTAATTGAGAAAAATGATTTATGCGGTTAAGTAAACGTAATATAGATGTATTAGTCATGAGAATATTTTTTCTCCCTGATTTAAAGCTCATAAGTGGCATGAATCAAAGACGCATTGAGAGCAATCATCTGTGAATTATGTTTCTATAAGACTCTCATAAACATTTTTTTTATGAACGATATTCTTCAGTCGACGGGAGATAAGATCCATGGTTCCACATTGTGTGTATTTGCACTCCATCATCATTTTTACAACAGGAGGGATCAAACTACTGCAAATGTACTACAAAATCAATCTCTCATCAGAGCCAGAAATAATTTCATTCAACCCAGTTCGCCTCTACCTCGTATATTAGGTCAAATTTAGCCACTTGCAAAATCGATTTCCTCAGCACTGCAATATTTTCCAAAGTTTAATTACTTTCGATAAATGGGAAATAGACATGCTGAAGGTGAAAGAGCTCAATTTAGAGCTCTGTGTGTTAGCCGTGAATTATACTGTACCGCAGCAGAATGCAGTTCAATGTCTTGACGTCTCTTCCACCTTTTTTTCAGGCAAGCTGAAAACACAGAGGCACATTGATTCATTCTTTCAGTCCTCAGTACATTACATGGCATTTGACATAGCATCTGTAAACAGAACCTGATGGCAAATAGACTTACAGTACATTTTTTTCTACATATTTCTGTGTCTAAAAATCAGATGTTACAAGAGTCATTCCTCATTTTCGGCTACATACATTTTGCTTCCATTTCCTAAAAATGTCTTAAAAGACAATAATGTTAATATGATATGAATAAGAAAGTTATTATAAATAAATTTGAAAAATGATCAATATTATATTAAGGCATTTGGCAAACACTTTTATCCAAAACCACACTTGGATAACGTGTGATTTGCATTCACACATTTTAGCAGTTTTATCAACATTCCCTGGGAATTGAATGCTTCCAATGTAAATCAATTTGGTGTTTTGTCCACCCTATTATGCACAATTTAATTTAATATTTAATCATTTTTTGTAATATTTTAATAATGCGAACATCTATATGAAAAACATTTTTGTTGTAAATTAATTCGTGAAGGGGAGTAATATTTAAGATTTTTATTTACATTTAATTCAATATGTAATGCAATTAGTCATTTTTTAATAACATGAACTATGAAAACGTTTTTGTGGTAAATTACGTAGTGAATAAGAATAATATTTCATTATATTTTTATTTAATATTTTCTTAATCATATTTTAATATGTGAATAACTATGACACATTACATTTTACTTATATATAATAAACGTAATTTTCTTTTTTAAATGTAATCATATTTTAATGATGTTAAAAACTGCAAAAACATTTTGGCAATTAATTAGTGAAGGAGAATACTGTTTAAAACATTTTTTTAATATTTCTAATTAAATATTGAATATATCATATTTTAATATGATAGAATTATGAAAACACATTTTGTTGTAAATAATAAAGAATGGAGAACTAATTGTGTTTCCAACCAATTATATATCTGTGCACTTAAAACCTAATTTATTAAAGGTGAAATCTGTAAAACACACGTCTATTATGTATATGTCTATAAGGTAGAGGTTTTGTGTCAGTTTCAGTTGAAGTCACTGAGCTAGTCCTGTATGACTTTTGCTGAATTTAGCACATCACTCCTAAGATGAAACACACTTAAAGATCAAATATTTTTAAAGAAAAATATTTCATTTTTCCAAATTCTAAAAGCCCAAAGGCATCAAATTAAAGGAAAGATCCAAAGAACACATCAGTGGCCAACTAAAAGACAGAAACAACCAATCTGCATTGTGCATCTGCCAGCCAATCTGCATTGTGTATAAGCAATCTCAATCATGTACCCTCCTCCCACTTTACATTAGTGAAGGAAGATCCTTTTGAACTGAATTGAGCTGTTCCAAACCGGAGTGTGACTTCAAACACAATTCTCCTGGTGAGAAAGAAAATACTGTTATTGTTCAGTTTTGGAGTGTAGTGAACAACATATTTCCCCACAGATGAGAGGAGAGGAGATGTTGAGTGGAATGAGAGGTGAAAGGAAAATAAGAAACAGAGAAACAAAGAGAAAGCCATGAAAACAGATAGTTAAAACAGTATTAGAAAGGAAACAGAAGGGGAAAGGCTTCTTCTGAGATCATTTTTCACTATTGCTACTGAACATCAACATTTCTAAAGCAACTTGTGTTAAAATGCATCTCACATCCAGTTTAATATATACAGACATCTACAAGTAAACCTTCAGCTTGTTGGCTTCTTTAAAAAAAAAAGTTTAAACACTGTATCTCTGTGGTGCACAACACAAAAAGTGCTTCTGTGCCATACATTTGTTGCTGTTCCTTCCTCCAACCAGTGAACCGGAAATCGATTGAAGTTCACCATCCTGACGGACATATCAATTCTCTGAATGCACCGAGTGGAACGAGAAGAGAGGACACATCCAGAGGAGCTTCACTGTCAGCAGGCGGATCCTTTGTAGAAGTCTTTTCAAATGTGACCTGTAAAGTATAAGCTTCAATAAACCTAACATCAGCTACATCGTTTAGAGTCACTCATTCATCTCTATAAATATAACCATAATTTAAATATTGGTCCTGGAAAGAAAAGTTATTTGGTTTTTGCACTTTAATTAGAGCAAAAATACATTAAATTTAAAGAAAATACATTTTGTTGTTGTTGATGATAAGAGAAGCCTGTGTAATCTCACATATAAATATGTGCAGATTTGCAAACAGCTAAACCTAGTTTGATGAGAATAGTTCCCTCTTTCCGCACACATCTCTTATAATCTTGTCACAGAATTGCTCGTATTCACAACAGTCTTCTTTTAGTATTCTTCTGGCTGGTGAAATGAAAAATCTATTTTTGCTTCATTTGAAGAGTAAAAAACAACCATGATGACTTTTCAGCATGACTTTCTTTTAAAAAAAAGTTCTTATTGTAAAACGTGAAGACGAGCAGACCAGACTGCAGCTTCCACTTCAACCGCACAGCACTTTCAGGTGGCTTGTATATTTTTATTGGCTTCACCTTAAATATTTCTAAAATATTTAAAAAAATCAGCAAGGATGCATTAAACTGATCAAATGTGACATTAATAATATAAAAGATTTCTATTTTATGTAAATGTTGTCTATTCATCTGTCTATTTTATCTAAATGCTTTCTATTCATCAAAGAATCCTAAAAAACGAGTCAAGTTTCCACAACAATATGCAACAACTGTTTTCAACATTGATAATAATAAGAAATGCTTCTTGAGTAGCAAATCAGCATATTAGAATGTTTTCTGAGGGATCATGCGACACTGAAGACTGGAGTAATGATGCTGAAAATTCAGCTTTGCCTCACAGGAATAAATACTATTTTTAATATATATTAAAATAGAAAACGGTCGTTTTAAATTGTATTATACTATAGGGCTGTTGAATGCTTTAATCTGATTGGCTGATGAACAATCTAAGGTGTGCAATTATTTTCAGGGAAACGCATGGTTAATGTAGTTCCAGGCAGCTCTTGTCCGCATTACATGACCATATCACTTCGCCAAACAATTTTTGTTATTTTAAAGGTCCGTACAGACTACAACAGCAAAATAACCAAAACCCACAATGACACTGACAAAGCAAATAAATATTGTAAACAATACAAGGAAAATGACACTAAGGGCCCTATTTTAACGATCTAAGCGCATGGTCTAAAGCGCAAGGCGCAGTCCGAATCCACTTTTGCTAGTTTAATGAGGGGAAAAACGGTCGGTGCGCCCGGCGCATGGTCTACAGTAAAAGGGTTGTCCATTAAGGGTTATTCTCTTAATGAGTAATGGGTGTGTTTTAGGTATAACATGGAATAAACCAATCAAAGTCTCATCTCCCATTCCCTTTAAGAGCCAGTTGCGCTCGCGCCATGGTCGATTCGCTATTTATACGACAGAATTTGCAAGCGCAAAGACTGAACGCATCTACAAAGAGGAAACGGAGCTGCTTGTGCGCAAGCAAATAGGTAGGCTAATTCTGATACATGCAATGACTATCCATTATAGGCATTTTATATTTATGTAGAGCCTACACAATAATAATCTTTTACATTGTAATCCTTTAATTTTTAATATTTGGCATGGTTGTGTGCTGCTGCGCGTCCATGTGTGTGTAATAAGCAGAGTGTACGCATGTTGTGGACCCGCCTATAGGTGCATATTACTAACGTGCTCTTTAAATAACAAAAAAATACTGCGCCATTGACTTTAGACCAGGTTTTAGTTGGTCAATGGCGCAGTCTATTTCAGTTGCCTCCTTTTCAGACTTGCACGCCCACCTCGGGTGTTTCTAATAATTCAATGGCCCTTTGTCAATTATTCCTTACATAATATATCACATTAATTTTTATAGTATTTCTCATCAATTTGATGAGCGGGCTTGGTGACCAAAACAGACTTCTTTCAGGAAACACTAAAAAAATCGTAACTTTTGACCGTTAGTGTATATATAATATGAATCTATCTCAGTATTACAGCCAGGGCTCTGCCAACCCCTGCCCTAGAAAGAAGACTTCCCTCAGCTAGTTTCACCCTGGAAAACGCAATTACAACTCAAGCTGCCACTAGATGATGCCCAGAAGTGGTGACCACATACAAAAGTGTGATGTGAATGTCTTCTCTTCAGCAGTATTGCCTCTCAGGCCCCAGGAGTTTCCACTCGCTCTGCTTCCAGACGTGTTTACCTGCAACGTCTTGCTGAGCAAGATGGAACTTTCTGCTTGAACTGCAAACATCAGACTTTTCTGAAGAAACAGCATTTATGCCCCAAAGAAAACAATCACAACCATTCAGAACCAGAGGAAAAACTGAACTGGAAAAGTCGCTCCCATCATGAGTGCGTTGATTAATGTTAAGCTTGATGTTCTGTCATAACCACATGTATTTTCCCATGCTGGTCACATGATTTTGTGATAAACCATTTTTTTCTTCTTCTTCAGGGGGGTGTTTGGTTAGTAACATAACTGACAATATTTGTGGACATGAGTAAAACTACAGTAAATATTTTCTTATTTGAAAGAAAATACAATTTAAACTCCATCTATTTTCTAGCTATTTCAATATATAGGGTCAGATTTACTAACAGCCTGTGCCAGCGCAAACCGTCTTTTGGCATTAAAATAGTAGGATTCTGTCAGGATTTACTAAAGACGCGCAGTGAAGAATTAGCGTGGAAAAGGTGTGGACAATTATTTTTGCACCTGACCTTATTGAATATGCATTTGTAGGAGTTTCCCTTTCAGACGCAAAATTTATGGGATTAGAGTATTAAAATTAATCATGCAACGCGATTTCCTGTTTGCGCTCGTCAAATTACTAGTATTTGCGTCATTATTTAACACCCCCAAAAAGCATGTTTTGCTATTTTGCACTTGAAATGGCTGCAAGTGTTGTTGCTAGGAGGAGGCACCGCAGAGAACAGAGAGCGCATGGTAGAAGGGAGAGGATTTTTTCCACACGTAGGCCTATTAATTTATTTGGAATGCCAGAAGAACACATTCGAATCTGAACATATCCTTACGCTAATTTGCGCTGCGCTTGGTAGATTGCATTGGTCATTATGGAAATGAGATGTTGCATCTGCGATCTTTAATTTGCGCGTTGTTGTCAGTAGGCTAAATCACTCGCAGACATTTCCACGCCCATCGGCGCTGTTTTGGAATTGCGCTCTTGCGCTAATGTGCCCCGTTTAGTAAATCTGGCCCTTAATATGTATTTTATATTTATTTAGACTCATGTATTTAGATAAATACATTTACTATAGATAATCTTGACTTTAACATTATTTAATTAATTATTTTGTAATCAAAACACAATTAAATAAAACTGTAATTTAAGGGAATGTACAGTATGTGGAAAATAATGTGTTTTTTGAACCTTAAACCGCATAAACACATTTCATTACACCAAATACACAAAATAATATTCTTTTTAGCAACATCATATGACCCCTTTAAGGGCAATTTCAAGCAAACTGAAAAACAGGGTGCCCAAAAATAAGTGAGGTTATAGTATGTATTCTCTTAATGGATATGATATTTCTGAAGAAAATTGTTAGAAAAAAAATATAATCATCGTCAACAGGCAAATGTACCCTACAGAACGACCCTAATAATTTGATTTAAAATAAAATAAAATCCATAGTCAAGATTAGTTTTCCATCATCTTTTGAGATGCTATGAGGTGTGTGTTTCTTTAACCATTTCTTTGAGTTTCTCTTGAGCTACATATTAGTCATCTAAAATTTCTGAAGTCTTGCAAACAATCTCACTGGGTAGTTTTTTGCTGATTCTTTACTATAACACAGCAATAAAAAGTTAAAGATCATTTTAGCAGCCGGTGTTTGCATGCTCCGACTCTCTCTGGGGGATCCGACGCATATTACTGTGCAATATAATTGAGCGCAGCTTCTTACTGTCAGAAGGTCTCCCTGGAGGATAGCTTCCTTCACACCTTCAGTGCAGTGGTAGAAAGACACTTCAGCAAGCCGTGGCAGATGCCGACACCTCAAAACAGAGAGAGAATACTGTAGAAGTTATTTTGTCGCATAAACCTTGGCTCAAAAGAGAGTTAGAGGCAGTTCAGCCGGCATGTTGACATAATGCATTCTGGAAGGTTCTGCAATGTGAAACCTGTCAGACTGGCCTTGAAGAGAGGGACTGCACATCAGACAGCTGTAATCCATCTTTACTGCGGGCATGTGCTTAGTCAAAGGAAGCCCCTAATCGTGCTTTCTATCTCTGTGTGCTTTTCAATTCAAGAATCTATTTCATTGCTTTATGTTAGGCTGTATTTTTGACACTGATTCATCTGCATTCAGCATAACCACCCACCTGTCATTCTGTCATTATTTATTCACCCACACGTCATTTCAAGCTCCTGCTGTCAAAACAAAAAAGTAGACATTTGTGACCCTGGACCACAAAAACAGTCTTAAGTCGCTGGGGTATATTTCTAGCAATAGCCAAAAATACATTGTATGGGTCAAAATTATTGATTTTTCTTTTATGCCAAAAATCATTAGGATATTAAGTAAAGATATTTTGTAAAATTTCCTACTGTAAATACAGTGCTGTGAAAAGTTTTTTGCTCCCTTCCTGTTTTTTACATTTTTGTATATTTGTCACAATTAAAATGTCAACAATTCTGTGTTTTTCTGTCAATATGGGGTGCTGTGTGTACATTAATGAGGAAAAAAAATTAACTTAAATGATTTTAGCAAATGGCTGCAATATAACAAAGAGTGAAAAATTTAAGGGGGTCTGAATACTTTCCGTACCCACTGTACGTGGCCCTACGTGAAAAATTAATTGCCCCTACCTGTTAAATCATGAAAGAACTGTGTTTAACCACATTATTTTAGAAAACTGAGTTAAATTTCACTAGCCACACGCAGGCCTGATTACTGCCAGACCTGTTGAATCAAGAAATCACTTAAATAGAACCTGTCTGACAAAGTGAAGCATGCTTAAAGAGCAACACATCATGCTGCGATCTAAAGAAATTCAAGAACAGATGCGTCTCACAGTTGCCAAAAAATATCTTGTTTATCCCCAAGACTTTTGGGCAAATATTCTGTGGACTGATGCGACTAAAGTTGAACTTTTTGGAAGGTGTGTGTCCCGTTACATCTGGTGTAAAACCAGCACAGCATTTTATAAAAAGAACAGTCAATCATACCAACAGTCAAACATGCTGGCACAACCAGTTGTTTTCTTTAGGGCAAGGGGGCAATTACTTTTTCACGTTGTGCTAAGCATGTTTGGATAGCTTTTTTCCCTTAATAAATGAAAAAAATATTTCAAAACTGCATTTTGTATTTACTCAGGTTATCTTTGTGTAATATTAAAATGTGTTTGATCTGAATCATTCAAGTGTGAAAAATATGCACAAAAAAAAATAAAAAAACCGGAAGGGGGCAAAAACTTTTTCACACCACTGTATATTAAAACTTAATTTTTGATTAGTAATATGCATTGCTAAGAACTTCATTTGGACAACTTTAAAGGCGATTTTCTCAGTATTTAGATTTTTTTGCACCCTCAGATTCCAGATTTTCAAATAGTTGTATCTCGGCCAAATATTGTCCTATCCTAACAAACCATACATCAATGGAAAGCTTGTTTATTCAGCTTTCAGATGATGTATAAATCTCACTTTCGAACAATTTACCCTTATGGTTTTGTGGTCCAGGATCACATTTGTAATCAATCTCTATGCTCTTGCTATATAATGACAGTTTACAGTGGCTGTCTGTAAATCTCCAAAAAAAAAAAAAAAGAATAGAAAAGAAAATAGAAAATAAATAAATAAATAAAAATAATCACTATAAAAGAGCCATATAACTTGAGCTTTATATTCAATTATTTTTTTAACCCAAGTTATTGTAAATAAAAATTATCAGATATATATTTTTCTTTAGTTACATATAGTTTATTTTTATATACTGGATTTTAGGCTGTAAAATAAAATAAAATATTTTACCTCCTGAGGTAATTGAAATCACCCGTTTTACTGACTGTGTTGAGAATGATTTTTTTTTAATGTTTACAAAATCACACTAATAGGTTAATAGGTGATTAGGTTGTGTTTAGAAAAAAATAGTAAAATAAAACAAAATAAATAAAATGAAAATCAATTCAATTCATTTTTATTCAATTTAATCAATTTAAAAATAAATATAAATAAATATATTGAAAATATACTGGAGTTTAGTCTGTAAAAAAATAAAATAAATACATTTTTGAAAAAGATGATTTTAATGTTTACAAATTCACACCAACAGGTGATTAGGTTGTTTAGAAAAAAAATAGTGAAATAAAATAAATCCAATTAAATTCAATTCAAAATAAAACAAAACATGACCTTTTACTGACTATTTGTTGAAAAACAATTGTTTACAAAAAAAAAATCACACAAATGTGCGTTTAGGCTGTAAAAAATAAAATAAAATAAAATAATGCAGACCATAAAATATTTAATTTCACCTCAAGAGGTTAGAGATACGGCGACATCTTAAATTCTACCGTATTTATAGAAAGTAATGTGTGCTTGCCTCTTCTTCATGTTCTGCAGTCATGACAGTGACTTCCGGTGCCCTGTGTGATAATAAGCATGCTTGACACGTTCATCTCCAACAGTCCTCTCACTCTCCTGGGTGATGTGATCTGATCTCAGGTTAGACTGCATTAGAGAGGTCTAAATCCACGGCATGATGAAGGGCGATTTGGGGAAATGGTTGGCTAACCAAGCACTGTGTCAGAGCCCCATGTCCTCCTGCTTTCATTAAAAACTTCCTCCACCCACATGGAATGATTTATGAGCAGTTCCACACTGCTTCTCACCTGGGCTTCAGGCCCCACAGATCTGCAAACAGCTGACCAGAACAAAGCCACGCTCTCTCTGAACCCTGGCTGAACCCAGCCAATCGAATCAAAGCGCTAAGCAGGTACAGTCTCAGCAAGTCTGAAGATGTGAAAGTCTTCATGTGTGGCTCGAAGAATTCGAACCAAGATGTTTCTAAATAATGTGAAGATATCTGAACCACAGGAGTGTAACCATATACTCATTTTCATTAAAAATCCTGATGATTTATATCTATTGATCTTGACATACACTACTGGTCAAAAAATTTTTTTTTTTTATTATTTTCAATTTTTTAAATGTAATTTAAAATTGTGATGACAAAGCTGAATTTTCAGCATCATTCTTCAGTCTTCAGTGTCACACGATCCTTCAGAAATCATTCTAATATGCTGATTTAGTGCTCAAGAAACATTACATTGATCAAAAGTGACAGTAATGACATGTATAATATTACAAAATATTTCTATTTTAAATAATTGTTTGAATTTTCTATTTATCAAAGAATCCTGAAAAAATGTATCACAGTTTACATACATTAATATTAAGCGGCAAAAACCATCATTGATAATAATACACTCTAAAAAATGCTGGGTTAAATACAACCCAGTGCTGGGTAAAATAGGGACAAACCCAGCAATTGGGCTGTTTTGACCCAGCGGTTGGGTTAAATGTTTAACCCAACCTTCTGGGTTGTAACCCAACCGCTGGGTCAAAACAGCCCAATTGCTGGGTTTGTCCCTATTTTACCCAGCACTGGGTTGTGTTTAACCCAGCATTTTTTAGAGTGTAAGAACCATTTTTAATCATTAAGTGCCAATAACTAATTAACCACCAACTGTAATGATATTTCACAATTATATTTGTTCAATATTACTGTTTTACTGTATATTTGATCAAATAAATGTACGCTTGGTGAGCATAAAAGACTTCTTTCAAAAACATTTCAGAATCGTAATTATTACAGTAAACGACTTTCAAACTATGAACCATTTGGTTGACAATAAACAATTTATAAATTAATTACAATCAAATTTATTTTGGGTACAATAAATACGCTGTGGTGTCTTCTTTTTTGCTTAAAAATATTTAAGTTTGTTTGTTTGTTTATGATTTAAGGGCATGCGAGCTACCACGGCTATATTCATGAAAAATATTTAAGAATCCTATAAATGCTTTTTAAAAATCTGAATGGAATCATTTGTAATTGAATCAAACTGTTCTGTACTTGCAAAATCTGCTTTTAAATCTGAATCCTGTCAATTGAATTGATTCACACCCCTAACAATGGCTTAAATGAAACACATATTTTGTTCTTACTCAATTCACAAACCTTTTGCAAATTAGTTTGACTGTTCAAAAGAATCCATTCCCTCAGGAGGAATCAACTACACACATAACTAGTGAGTGCCTACGGTACATCTCTGCAATGCCACACTACATCTGAGCCAATTTAATAAAAGAAGACTCATTTAACACACAGTGCACACAACATTTTGCAATGCCAGATGCCTCTGTCCATTTAATAAGGACCTTTAGCTTGAAGCAGGCTTGTTTACAGTATGAGCTAACAACTCCTCCGTTTGATGCCTATTTGCTCATTTTCTGTGGGAATATAATAGACGGGGTACGTGGCATCAACCGATTGCCTTGTGTCCCAATCTTAAGCCTCTCAACCTTAGACAGCATGCACACAAAACCGCTCAAGAACTGTCTAATGCATATTGCAAACATAGAAATGTCAAGTGCTGACTGAAATCACTGCAATTTCTTTGGAAAAACTGGTTTTAATTAAATAAAGGTGTACTGGATTTGCCAAGGTCTGCAACATTTTTTACTTTTTATTTATGTCTATATTTTTTTGTTGTCTGTCCAGCCTTTTTGACTGATGTGTCATTAATGAATAAGTTTCCTTTATGTTGACCAGTGGTTTCATTCAGATTTACCTAATAATTAATGTCATACATTAAAAAATAAATAAATACAATTTACCTGTCAGTCAGGCAGCCTTTTCATATCCCAGTGGGTTTTATGGTCGGAATAAGTTAAAAGCCTGCCAATCCGAGACTGTAAAACAAGAAATAGAAGATTGTGACTTTGATTGAACAGCTTCCATACTCTTAACAATCAACTTCAATAACATTTAAGCTTTACGATTCCAAAATCAGTTTCATTAATTGCTTTTGTGAACACAGTACATAAAATCACATTACATCTGTGAGTTCTATAATGAGACTAATTTGCATAGAGAGTTTGCACTAGATAGCATTTCATTCCTTCATGCTATTTCTAAAGCATTTTGTGGCTGCTTTGATTAAAGGTAGATGAGATTTGCACTGAAATTCCGTGAAAATTCAGTGAATTCACACCTGCAAGTGAATAAATGTGGTGGATATTTTTGGTAGCTGACTGAGGGTTTATTCCAATTGTCACACTGTCCCTGATTTTTGCTCTGGTGGATAAAAGTCATGCCATAGACCGAACATTAATTAATTCCCAGCTGACAGCTCCTCTTTCTCCTCCCCTGTGTGTTTGTTCTCTGAGGGAGGTACAATCATTGGGTCCTTCCATGAGAACAGCTGGCTGCGTTTCAGCTCTCTCCTCGATAATTAAAGCTCAGAAAATATTGCGCCCTCCTGCTGTCTGCAATCAAATCTATACATTTCAGATTTCTGACCCGTATTTCAGCGCACTACTGTAGGTAAACGGTTCCTCCGCCGCCATCTGTTGAATTGAACCGTAATGGCACCTGCTACTTTCATTAGCTTTTATTTGTCATTCTTTTAGCTGTCCTTTCTGCAGCCCGTTCCGCTTGCTTGCGCTGTAATGCACATAGAACAGAATCCTGATAGATACAGAGCAAGTGGAAACTTGGCCTTTGGTTTTGACATGAATCTCGATTTCACAGAAAACCACATAGTTATCATACAGAGATGTTTGGATGTTGCCCATGAGATCACTTATTGTTTCTGATTTACATGTTTTTCTGGAACAACACAAATGGGTCAAAAAATAAAATAAATAAAATAAAATAAAATAAAATAAAAAGCTTTTTTGTGGGGTTATGCCCATAGATGGGGAAGAAACATATCCTTAAAAAAATAAAATAATTAAAAATAAATGCAGAAAGTAATAAATAAAATGGAAAGAGTAAACGAAAATTATATCAGGACTACATTTAATTAAAAATTATAGATACATATATTTATATAAAACCTGACAATCCTTTATTTACTGTCCTACCATTTCATTTCATTTTTTTCCGCAGGTTTGGACCTCCATTATTATTCTTTTTTAATTAGTATTCCTTAATAGTACAAATAAATAAATAAAAAATAGTGAAGCAGTGTTGGTTTACACTACATTATTAGATATTTTAATACATGTTAAAATATTAGAAATATTATTAACATTAATACTAGGGGTCAATTATGTGAGCAAAATGCCTGTTTCTTCTTTGACAGCCATTAAAAAGTAATCATATATTCTGGGAAAAATAAAAAACATACAAATCATAAGCATATTACATTATATTACAGTACATGTTTTACTAATAGAGCTAATACTCAAATAAATAGTCAATTAAGCCCGTGGACTAAAGCAAAACAAGCACTTTGGGTAAAATTACAGTCACATCTCCCTGCTGCTAATTTATTCTGTGACTGTGCAACCTCAGTTAATTTAGTCAGACTCCACATAATTATGTAATTGGAGGCTTTTATCTGGCTGGATACTCTTTGGCTACATGAAGCCGGTCTACTGGGCTTTATAAAGACGAGAGAGAATAAAGGATTTCAGCCCAAACTGTTAAATTATATATTCTCAAACTGTCCGGAGGAGTTATCTTTAATCCATTGACTCTGTTGAGGTGGATGAGAAAAGACTATCAATTTGACCACTCAAAACTCTCCACATTATAGGCATATACAGCGAAACAGTGAGATCATACTTGACCTTAACTTCCCGAGGATTCTCACACGTCTATTTTAGCTGTCATTCTGTTCCGGGAAAAGCTAATGTTCAGTAATGGCTCTTCAGTCGTACTTTGCGCTAGCGCCGACAGAATAAGGCAACCTTCGCTCTTTAGGGATGGCGGTGGAGATCTCAGCGTCGGCGCTTGTTAATCAGCCAATAGGACCGTGAGTCACGCATCTGCCATTAATGCATGAGCAGACTCTTCACATCAGAGCCAATAATACCACTCTCCATAACTCTGCTCTCTCTATTCACATTAAAAGCCTTGTCATTGAAACAGCTTCTACTTCACTTTATGAACACACACATAGAGCCTAAGGTCACAAAAGATCCACATTAATGGGATCGGATTCCATCACTTAAATTAAATATTACTGCAGAATCTTAGGCTGAATTTTGGCTTGCTTCCCTCTATTCATTTCTGTTCTGTTTCATAATGTCAAAAGGCCGTGCTGCACACACCGTACGGGCTAAATATTAGGCCTATTGGACCGTTTCAAACCCTCTGAACTGCACTGTGATTGGTCGAGCCGGAAGAACTGGAAGGAAAGCGCAGCAGAATTTAAGTTGCCGAATGAAATGTGATGAGTCAGGGTAGCGGACAGCCAAAAAATCCATCCCAGAATGCCATTACCTGAAGTGATCTGTGAAATGAATGTCAAAGAAGGCAAAATTATGAGAGGGTCCAAAGAATGCTTCATTTTAGCTTAAAAGAACAAAGCTCATAATTTTTTAATATTGGGAAACACCTCAGTTGTCAGGAATGACTAAAGAGTTGGTCATTAAAGAGATTTGATCTTTTTTACAATGTCTTCCAACTTTATTTTTGCATTTATTGCTGGTTCTGATTGTTGTTGTTCTGTGCGCTTCTTATTGTTTCTGACATAACACAGAGAAACAACCAGATTCATCAATGTTAATTTCCCACTGGCCTTATTATCCCTTGTCCCCCAGCTTTCATTTTTCTGTTTTTAATTCACAAGGTCTGCTTCTGACACACACTCCTGACATTTCTAACTACCTTATTAACCAAAAATTGGCTTGAATTTAGTTTGTATTTTTTCCATTTATTTTTCAATTGAATCCTGATTATCTTGTGTGCTAAAACATTCCCCAGTGAATTTACACAATTTCTGGTTTTCTACTTCCTTGCAATGTGACATTGCACAAGAATAACTACTTAAAAGGGACATAAGTAGTTCACCTAACAATGAAACATTTGGCCTCATTTACTCACCCTTCTTTTATTCCAAACCTGTATGACTTTATTTCTTCTGTTGAACAAAATGCTTGTTATTTTGAAGGACATTTCATAATGACCATGGCCAACTCCAAAAATCTCAAAAAAGAAAACCACCTCAAAAGTAGTCCATATGAATTGAATCGAGTGAATGAATAACACTCAAATTTGTAGTCTGATCTTTCAAAAAGAATTCAATTGAAAAGAATGTTTCATTCACTGATTTGGTTCCCAAGTCTGGCTGCAGTAGTTCTAAAGTTAACATGACCACTTCTATGGGATTATTTGGTCTATTTTTTTTTGTCATTTATGGTTTGGAATGACTCTGTAACGTATCAATGCATGGAAGAGCCAAAGTAGGATCCAAACGCAATCAGTCGAATATTTAATAAAACAAAAGGTAATCCAAATCCAGAAACATAGAACCAAACACAGAGAGAACCAGAAAACAGAAACAACACGCCACAACTTCGCAAAGACAACGACTGACTCAGACTGACTAAAACACAGAACTATTATACACAGAGACACTAACAAGATGACAAGGTAACAAGACACACCTGGGAAAGTAATCAAGAGGACCAATGAAACAAAAGAACTACAAAATGACTACAAAAGGCACTCTAGACAGGAAGTAACACAAAAGTCCAAACACAAGACAGGGGAACAGGAGTCAGATCATGACAGAGCCCCCCCTTTAGGAGCGGAATTCAGACACTCCAAAATAAACACTGTTAAGTCCAGGAGGGTGGTGGACAGGAGGTGGAACAGGGGGAGGGATGGAGGGCCAGGTCCATGTGCAGGAAGAGAACCTGGGGACTGAGGCAGAGCCGGCGGAACAGGGAGCCAGGGCGGAGCATGGGCGAAGCAGGAAGCCAGGGCGGAGCAGAGAACCAGGGTGGAGCCGGCGAAGCAGGAAGCCAGGGCGGAGCAGGGAGCCAGAGCGGAGCAGGTGGAGCTGAGGACCACCACAGCAGAGCAGACGGGTCCGAAGATCCCCACAGCGGAGCAGAAGACCACCAGAGCAGAGAAGACCACCCTGGCGGAGCAGACAGAGCAGAAGATCACCACGGCAGAGCAGACGGATGAGGAAACCAGGACTGAGACTGAGACCTCAGGGGAGGGATGGAGGGCCAGGTCCATGTGCAGGAAGAGAACCTGGGGACTGAGGCAGAGCCGGCGGAACAGGGAGCCAGGGCGGAGCATGGGGAGCTGAAGACCACCAGAGCAGAGCTGAAATCCACCAGGGCGGAGTAGGTGGAACTGAAGACCACCAGAGCAGAGCTGAAGAGCACCAGGGCGGAGCCGGCGGGACAGAGAGCCAGGGCGGAGCCGGCAGAACTGAGGACCACCAGGGTGGAGCAGACGGCCACAACAACAGAGCAGACGGTCCGAAGATCCCCACAGCGGAGCAGAAGACCACCAGAGCAGAACGGCCTCCATAGTCATGATAGGACAGGCAGAGAGTTCACATACGGCCTCCATAGTCATGATAGGACAGGCAGAGAGTTCACATACGGCCTCCATAGTCATGATAGGACAGGCAGAGAGTTCACATACGGCCTCCATAGCCGTGATAGGACAGGCAGAGAGTTCACATACGGCCTCCATAGCCGTGATAGGACAGGCAGAGAGTTCACATACGGCCTCCATAGACATGACAGGACAGGAAGAGGGTTCACAGACAGCCTCCATAGCCGTGACAGGACAGGCAGAGAGTTCACATAGGGCCTCCATAGCCATGACAGGACAGGCAGAGAGTTCACATACAGCCTCCATAGCCGTGAACAGGCAGAGAGTTCACATACGGCCTCCATAGCCGTGACAGGACAGGAAGAGGGTTCACAGACGG